TCTAACATTATCAATAGTAATATATAAGGTGTATTTCGAATGAAGTGTATGGCATAAGGGATCTTTTTATTTTTGGGGACTTTGACCTTTTGTTGTGCTATAAGAGATTTTATGGTCTATTTCATATCTCTGTAAGCAATACATTGCCAATACTTTATTTTACTGTATTTTGTTTAAACTTTGACCTTTAGGAGGACTTTTGTGTGAACTTAATTGCAATGTTGGTATTTTCAATGTTAAAGACCACTTGCATATTATATCTCATTTGCTTATGTTTACTTTATTCTATCATTAATATATTCACAGGTTAATTTCAATCCTAATGTCCTCAAACCACTTACTCTAAATATATTACATTAACTTGAATTAGATAGAGTCTTTTAAATACTTCCATTGCTCAAACAACAGGAAATAAACCACTATTCAATTGTCAACTTTTATATTCTTAAATTTCCTACCATTACTTGTATATTCTTAAATTACTAGATCTTTCCAAAAACAAAAGCAACAACCACACCCGTGTCATTATCAATGCAGCCAAAGCAATTTTCAACTTAATTTCACCCTTTCTTAGCTTGTAACACAGCCTTCAACCATCCTTCTCTCTTTAGATCATGGAATTCTCATCATATAATTTGTCAATCTCATTCAATAGTTGCTTAATCACAATGTTTGTCCTTTCATTGAACTCATCATCGTGCCAAGAAAAGTAGCCACAACCTTCATCCTATCAAAATTCATCACCACTGTTTAATCAAAACCACAACACCACTCTAACCAAAAACACCAACTTTTTTACCTAGTAGTAGTGTCGAACTATAATACCTCCTTCTGCTTTTTCATTGTTGTTTAAGAAGAGGATGACAACATGTACTTTTTTCTCACCTCTCATTTCTCTCTCTCGCCAAATCTTAACCTTCGACCTCAATAATGGCTTCACAAGAAGTGGGTTCCAACTTTAATGGTGGGGAAATCAGTCTTTGATGTTGCTTTTAATGCTCTCTCATCACCTATCATGTTTGATGATCAACTTGGAATTTATTTCACTCTTACAAGCCAACCTAGATAATAGATGGACCAAAAAAGAGGCTTTAAAACTTAAAACTAACGTGCATTTTAGGGTTTTAACAATTGTTGTAAAATAGAGCTTTTTTATTAAAAAAAATCAACATTTACCACTTTTTTTATCCAATACCAACAATCTTGATGTTAAGAAAAAAGGTTGACTAGAGATTTATTGTAAAAGCACTAGCCCTGCTAAGTATAATGAGAATACTACAATCTTTTTCTCTATGTATTTTTAATCATTATTTGAAACTAAAGTTGGTTTATGATGCAATCCACATGTATGAGAAATATTCATGGATATTTTTGTCCATTTGCTTTTAAATTAAAAAGAACTTTCATATATGAAAAGTTGGATGTACTTTGTATGGTTTAAATCTTTATGTTCAGAGGTTCACATTACCTTTGGAAACTTGTGAGAGAGAGAAAGGGAGGGTGGTGCTTATCTTCATTGGGTTTCCAAATGGATTGAATTTTGATCAATTATATCATTGTCTCTTCTTGGCTTTGCCTAATAAATAGAAATAATTAATTAATTTAAAGTGTAAAGAGAAAAGTAAAGGTGAGAATATTCACAGCAGTATCATGTTCCACTGCAACATTCTTTTCTGTGTTCTTTTTGGTCAGAAGGGACAGCATGCAAGATTAATATTATATATACATATACACGCGTGTGTATATATATGTAATACGAGTTTAACTCTATTCAGAGTCCTCTTTATATCGATTAATTATCCATTTCTTTTGTCCCGATGGCTGTGTGGTTAATGAGATCGGCAATATTTTGGACCCAAAAAAAAAAAAAAGGAGATCAGCAATATTTATATGGCAATATTCAAAGTAAGGCCTATCAAAGAGTTCGGACTTATATCGGGCTTCCATCTTCTTAATATGGCTTACCAATTATCCATCTCTATACAATCTAGGCTATATAATAATTCGTGGGTCTAATAGAAAGGATTAATCTTACAACATGATGAATCAAATTCAACTCTACTGAAAAAGTACTCACATTTAGTACTGACAATATCTCGAATATGATTACCTTTATAGAAGGATACATGTGCCTACCAAAAAAATAATTTTACCAATGGGGTTAGATCTAGTGGATAGATCTAGTTCCTCACAATATGGTAAACCAAAATTTGAATTTTTATTGAAAAAGGTGCTCACACTTAGGACTCGATAATGCTTCAATAGGATTGTCTCAGGTAGGACTAACAAAAATAAAGAATTTTTTTATATAAAACTTCATTGATAAATTATCCCTTTAATGTCATTTGTTAATGATAGTACTACTTCGATCATAATTATAAGAACCATTTGACTATTTTGAAGAATTAAGAAAATAAGTTAAGTTAGTTATTTGTAATAAATTATGCTGTCTTTCCTACAATATCCTTATTGATCAAGTATGTTAGCTAAAACTATAATTATTAGAAGGATTATCTTGGAAAAAATTGAGTAAATATAAGAGACAAAATAGATTTGGGTCTTATATTTAGGACTAACATAAAAGTCAAATAGGGTCTTATATTAAGGACCGGAGGTAGTGATTGATAATTTGTCTTATGTAATATATTAAATTGCATGATTTAATATTAACAAAATTTATTCTTAAAATCACCTTCTTTCAGAAGCTATTCTAGAAATTATGGTTTGGATTTATTCAAACACCCCCATAATCTAATGAAAATATTTTTATATTGCATGTTCCACCTTCAAAATAAATATTCAAGTGATAATTGATGAAAAATTAAGAGAATGCGTTTCATCAGAATAATTTGAAAAAAAAAATATTTGTTCCTTTGGGCCCAACATAATTATACTTTTTTTTTTACCCGGAGTATCCTTCCACCTAAATGATAAGAGATTAATCTCTCTATCAGGTGCTATAATATGTACCCAAAAAAAAAACATTGATTAATGACACCATACATTGGGTTAGGCCATTGGGTGGGATGCCCAAGCCCAAAAAAAAAAAAAAAGCACGTTGTCCATTGTGATTATCGAATTAAATACAAAAAAACCCATTGAAATTATCGAATTATTTTGAAATCTTAAGGAACTCATTGTAAGAGATTTCATTTGTTTAATTATCAAATTGTTTTTATTTTTTTAAGTATGCATTGATAACTGAAAGAGTAGTCATTAACAATTTAAGGCGTAACGATTAACAATTATCACGGTAGGTATTAACAACATATTTTCTCAATGCATTAAAAAAAATGTAATGCTTGAATTGTTAATATCTGCCATTATAGTTGTTAATCATTATATCTTAGTTGTTAAATATTGCACTTTCAGTTGTCAATGCATACTTTGAAAAAAGATAAGGATAATTTAGTAATTAAACAAATGAAATCTCTTGCAATGAGATCCCCTGAGATTTCAAATTAATTTGATAATTTTATGGGACTTTTTTGTATTTAATTCTCTTGAGTGAAACCTCATTGCAATTTTCTCCATTTAAATTTGAATCAAATACATTTACATTTCTTTTACATATAAGAGGTTGTGAGATCAAATATCTGTTGGGTGTGTTTCTCTTTCCATGTATAAATGTACACATGTGTTTGGTTTTTTTCACGTACGTATATCATGTAGAAGATTACTTCTCTGATTATTATGAAGGCTCTTTTTTTTTTAATTCCATTCTTTTAACTTTATTTCAAATTTCAATTTGATTTTATAACTTGATATATTTGAAATTTAAAATAAAATGAAGAGTATTCATACTTTTAAATGATGTTTATTTTACCTTTTTTTGGAAGAAAAAATTTTGAGATGAAAGTTATTAGATGTTTTGTTTATAAATAAAATCAATCAATTGATTTATTTTATTTTTGAACACCATTTTATTAATTTGTTTTGGGTACAAACTCAATCTAACCTAAGAACCTAATTTTAGATAATTCAGATTTAATTTAAATTTTTTGTGTTTCAAATAACTTTTATGTTAATAGATACAAAATTTAAAATAAAGATAATCTGATACTTTTTTAAAGATAAAATTATTGTTAAAAAAATAACAGATTATAAATTTTAAATCTAAACCACCTATATATATTTTGATATGATGAGTATTGAATGAGGATCTAAGTACACATAATGACCTTGGTCCGAAAAACAAATGAAAAAGATATCGACAAAATTGAAATTGAGAGAAAATCTATCACCAAAAAATTTGATAATTAATTAAGCCATTGTTTTTAAAACCAAAAAGATGCTTCAAATAGTGAATTTTATTAAGAAAAAGGCGTAGTGTGGTCCTTATTGGAACATTATTGGTGTGGAGCCACCAACATAAATACGCGCATATGCATACATAGCGGTCACTCAAATCAAAGAGAGAAAGAGAACAAATTATTAACGATGACTACTGTAAATGACAGAGATTATTCGTTTTCGACTTCATTCAGATTAGTCGGAATCTAATGTGGCTTTCGGATATTGAGTGGTTTGATAAAAAGCAATTGAAAAACGAAGAAGAGGCGGAGGTTTTGGGTTTCGGATATTATATGAAGGAGAGAACAAGTTACCTAGATGGGGGCTCTTCAAGAGGATGTCAATGTCATGATGTTGATGAGGATTAGCAACTAAAAGTGATTCCCACTTTACAAGTTTTCATGTTTTTACCGCTCATCTTAGAGTTGCATGCACGGTATTTGATCATTTGCCAATCACAAAGCGACATTATATATGCCTTTTCTCTCCTTATCTACTTTGGTTTTATTCCTCCACAACCGGTTCACAATTATTTTTAGCTTTTAAAAGTCCGAAGTATCATGCTTTGAGCAAAATTTGATTATTAGAAAGGGGAAAAACAGAAAAGAAGGTGGATGCTTTAAGTATATCAATTACATAATTCACATCTGCCAAATTTTTATACATTCATGACTCTTCCTCTCTCTCTCTCTCTCTCTCTCTCTCTCTCACTTTTCCTTTTTTTTTTTTTTTAAATGCTTGGGGCTATACAAATTACGTTATTGTGGAGCATGGTTATGATGAAACAGAAATCTTGCGGTGCCCAGGTAGTAGGAGAAGGACAATCTGGTGCTGATACAGAGGCCGTTCATTCAAAATCAAATGCTATTGTTGTGTGAGCCACTTTGAATATCGCAGTTTTTCACTGTCGAGCTCCCTGACTCTGAGATACTCTGTAAAGAAGGTCTCCATGACTTATACCTCACTGCACCCCCAGAATTCGTCCTTACCTTCTGTCTTTCTCCCCTCATTGCCTGCAATTCGTCATGACAGATAAGCACTACTTAATGATAATTGATAAGCCTGCTTGTATTTATATGCTTTCAACCTCAGGGATAAAAGTTTGTCTTGAAATTTTTAGTTTCTAACTAAATATGAGTCAAAAGTGTTGAATCCATGTGTTTGTCTGGCTATGATCACATTCTGTTGTGTATCTGTGAGATTCAGCTCCTTGGGAGCAGTGAAATGGGTTCACTGTTAAGAGTAATATTTTATAAGGTAGTATACGTACCTGATATTGCTTTCCTGTGTGAGAATTCTCTCCTTCCCGTACTGATGATTCTGCCTGTGGTGGCTTCCTTGTCTTTGCATGTTTCTTTGCTCTCAGTACGTTTACAAACAACCTCTGAAACCACAGGCATTAACAATAAAGATTTAAGACTCTATGAGCCTGAAATTGTTATATTTTAAAAGAAGGGATTATTAGAAAGAACGGAGTCAACACTACCATACATAAAATTTATACACACCTTGAGTAGTGATGAGCCTATAAGCATGGCCAAGAGTGAGAGTTTCATTAGGACGAAGGAGCTTAACCTGGGTGATGCGCACAGTGTTCTGGTCTTGATTCCGTTGTTCTTGTTGAACTTGAAGTGGGATTATCAAAGACACATAATGACCAGGATTCATCCTCATCACCTCGCTTGCAGTCACTGGACTGTACAATCTCTCCATCTTCCCACATGGATGCTGAATCACTAGCGCTGCTGCATCCACAGCTTGGCAATTCCCCATATGTGTCTGTGTGTGTTTCTCTCTCTCTCTTCTCTCTTCTCTCAGAAATTGCAGACAAAAGGTGAAGATGAAGACGAAGGTGAAGAATGGATATGGATGATAAGAGAGAGGTTGAGGGAAGCTGAAGGAATGAGGAGAGGTCACTGTCTAGTGAAAAAAACAGGTTCCAGCTCTCATACATACAGTGATATTTATAGGGTCATGACAAAAATGTTGGGCATTTTGCTATTTGATAATAGTGAATCTAGTAAGATTATGGGGCATCGTATTTTATTTATATCTTAAATATAAAAAGATTAGGCATCCCTGATAAATTATTAATAGTGGCACAAAGCCCTGAGCCAGTGAGAGTGCCACGTGGAGAGATCACAAGGATACTGAAGAAGATATGGAAGGACATGTCCGGCTATGTCAGACTGAGTCAAGGATTAGATTCAAATGTGAGATAAATTGGCCTTCCATCTTCTCCAACATTTCTATAAGATCAAAGAGTGATTATGAATAGCAATTTGACACTGGATAATGACAAAGCATCTGTTAGGAATATTATAAATATGGGAGAAAATTATTAAAAATCGGCTTGAGGCATAATTAATATCAGTGTTTTTAAGAATATTTCTTCTATTGAAAACATATGCTTAGGATTCGACAAGCTTTTCTATATTTCTATGGGAAAATAAAGGAGGCTAATTTAACAGTGTGAATAAGATTTTGATACTGGAAAATGACAAGGTATCAGCTTATTCTTGTTACAGAAACTGCAGCTCCTGAAAAGTCTGTTTGGTTGCCAGGAAAATCTGAGAGAGAGAGAAAAAAAAGAAAGAAAATAAGAAAATCCAACCAATCCTAGAGGTGCATGTTTGAACAAGGAAAGTTGTGTGGGAGGAATATAATACACAGTGCACAACATTTTCTTTTTCCTTCAAAGCTTCAAAGGCCAATGCAAAAGAAGGAATCAGGCAAATAATTGAGACTGGTATTGGGATGCTGATATAAAATATGAAAGCAACAATGAGGAGTGAAACTTTAATTTGTTTGGTTGATAGCACTGTGGGTATAGGCTTTTCTTTTCCTTTGAGTGGTGTTGAAAGTGGGTTGGACCATATCATTATGAACACATTTTGGAATTATCAATAGGATTAGCATTGAAATTTGATATAAAATAAGTTCCTGCAGAGGGCTGCGATATTGTGTGTATATTATATCAAGATTTTAAAGTCAGCTCAAACTTTAGGACCAAAGATTCGAATTTGAAGTTAATATCATAGCAGTAACTAACTCTGTTCATTGCAATTCTGGAGAAGATTGAAGTCAATTACAAGATCGACTGTTGCAGTGGGGATGGGGACCAATTAAGCAATATAATAACTCAAGTAAGCATCAATTATATTTTTAATTAATTGACAACTGAAGTGGTAAAATTTGATTAGCAGAAGAAATTAACTTTTATTTTTCTAATTAAATTTTTGGCATTGTATTCTATGTATAAAGTTATAATAGTTTATGGACTTTTACCTCTTTTTTTCTTCTTTGCCATCTTATAGACTTTTTACTTGAGTCTCTTATGAGTTTAATTTCACATTCAAAATGCTGTATTTTAAAATATTTATATCCATGCTAAATATTATTTAACATATCGATCTTTCATAGTTGGTGAAAATTTGTGGGAACTGTACTGTAACATGTTATATAGAGTCTCTAATAATCTTAATCTTGCGTGGCTTTTCTGGTTAATGCCATAAATATTGTTTTATCAACACAATTAATGTAGAAGCCTAGAAGGGTAATAATCCCTCACTACTAACAATTTCACATTGATCAAGGGATTGGGTTAAAATTTGTTAATGCTTTTAACATTTTAAGATTAGAAGTGATTTACCGGTTAAAATGGAAGATCAAATCATATAAACGACAAAGTTTAAATATTTGGAATCGATTATATAAAATTATGGTAAAATTGATTAAGATGTTACACATACATTACAAGTTAGGTGGTTTAAATGGAGAAAGACCACAAGAGTTATTTGTGATCAAAATGCATCTAATAAGCTTAAAAGGAAATTATACCAAGTCGTTATGTGACCAACAATACTATATGGTAGTAACTATTGGGCTTTAAAGGAATAATAAGAGTATAGGGGTTGGGTAACATAGATGAGACTGTTAAAATGGACATGTAGCCATACAAGAAAAGATAAAATTCATAATGGACATATATGAGAAACAATTCAACTAACATTAAAGAGAAAAGGTAGAAAATCATTTAAGATAACTCAAATAGGTACAAAGAAGGGAATTGAAGGCATTAGGGAAAAAGCGTGGATTACGCAATTTGGAATACACTGAAGAGAGGCAGAGGAATACCAAAATGAAAACTCAATGAAATTATTGAACAAGAATTTTTAATCAATAATATATCCAAAAATTCAGTTAATGATAAAATATAATGGCGATGTGCTCTCCATACATCCGACTCAACACAGTGAATCAAAGCTTGTTACTTTAAAATTTTAAGACCACCGTCTATAAAATTTGTTAATTAAAGGAGATTGTTAAGTAATTTGAGAATATCACAACAAAGAACATTTTAAAAAAATATACTTCATAAAAGTATTACATTAAAGATTGTAAGAAATGGCCTTATAATAAGACTTGAAGGATTAACTACTCATAAGCTAAGTCAGGCTGTGAACTTCTAGTTATCTTATTAAATTGAGAAAAACCCAGAAAATACACATTTTGTCTCATTATTCCTCGATACGATGAACTATGACCTCGTAAGACAAAGAGGTAATCTTGCTGAGAATCTTATTTAACATAAACAATGAAAAGGTTTGAAATTTTCTCCTTCCATGAGTCACATGTTTATAAATCTCTCAATAATGTCAGTTTCTGAAAGTCATGTGAACTGTTAGGAGAAGACTTTTTGCCTCAAATTTTATATCAGAAAGTAGACTCATTCTTGCTCTAATAAACTTTGTCTCATATGACACAATAAATAAATTACACCCCCAAAATTTTATATATTTATAGTTCCAACCCTATATGCTCATCAATAGGCAACCACTCATGTTTATTATCTGGGGTCCCTATACAGTCTCAATATTGTAATGTTAGGTCATGTTTCAAATCAAATTATTTGTCATATAATTCGAATTTGATTGGCTTGGCTTTTAAGTTTAAATATTGAATCCTTTTAATTTAAGTTAATTAATTAATTCAGACTTTACTGTTAAAAAAAACAGTGGATTCTGGAAGAGTCTTCTTTGATTTTGCATGGGATGGACTTGATCTTGAGAATTTCTTTCTCCACATTCTTTCTATATTGACAATACTACACGACACAACTATCCATCCAAAAATGTACTTTTTAAGGAATTTATTAAAATAGAAGCTACTGAAATATATATACATATATATGTATATAAAATAATGACTGAGATCCTAACGAAAAAAATTTTCTGGAAAAAAGAGGAAAATGTAAAAAAAAAAAAAAATACTAATTTTCTTTGACTTGGTTTGTGTTATTTATTTATCTTTTTAGTAAATTTATTTGTGAATTTGTCTGCAATGGTATTTCATTTCCATGGGCTCTCATAAACAAAGCTGCAGATAACTATATGTCCCTTAAACAAGGTTCCCTGAGGACACTCTGCATAGGCTTCATTATGTACAGAAATCATGGTCAAATCGTGAGTTTAATTTTGTTTAATCCTAAACAGTCAAATCTCGACAACCCACAAATAATTTAATGTTTAAAAAAAAATTAAAAATCCCTCTTTGATTCTTTGTTTCTTATTTAGATACCTATAATTTTGTCATTCAGCTGCAACTAAGGTGTTGGAAGTTGTTGCCCATCTAGATTCTAGACCCTCGTCTGTATATATGTCTATATGCACACTGCCTTCAATATTAAATATAAGAAATTTCTAATTAATTCATATATATTAATAAAAATGGTTTAAAATATTAAATTTGTCTAATTAATTCATATTTATCAATAAAAATAGTTAAAAATATTGAATTTGTCATAAAATTTAAGCAATTTTGAGCAGGATGAAGGCGCATCCAGCACTTTAATCTTATTTTTTAGGTGCATTCAACACCTTCATCTTTCTTGTGATGTTCCAGCACCATGATCTTATTTTTTTTGGTGCATATAGCACTCCAATATATTTTTTTGTTACATTTGGAATCATAATCTTTAGGGTACTAGATGCAACTAAAATAATATTATCCCACTGGATGCACATAAAAAAAAAAATCAGAGTGATGAATGCACATTAACCCTTTTAAATATTATCCTTATTAACTATACTGAATTTCAAAATCATATTAATTTCTACTCTCGCTACTCATATTGACTGTGGGCATATGCATAAAAAAAATATTTAACACTCCTTAAAATTATCAAATGCTTTATAAAAACGGCCTTAAACACCTTCTAGTAGAAATAGTGGCCAAATGGTGTATATATTACTGAATAGAATTGATGCTTTGTGAGTGATGGAACACTGCTTAGGGTTTTTAACTGGATAACGATGCATTACATTTCTAATGCAGATTTGTTCTAGGAGACCTAGCTTGCAAGGTTGAATCTTCAAAAGATTTGTGCGCACAGATATATGAAACTTTCAATTATTAATATATATATATATATATATAGAGAGAGAGAGAGAGAGAGAGAGAGAGAGAGAGGTTATAAGCTCGAGGGAAATTATTGCATGAAAGATATATAATTAATAGGTGGTTGTGGTTCAAATGAAAGTTTGGTCTATGTAATGATTCCTTTTGATAAGAATTGGAATATGTCTTTTGTTTAAAGAAGAGAGATTGAACTTGAGCACTTGAGAATATTTCATACTCAAATCTTTTTAAAAGTAGAGAGAGCATATTATTAAGTGGTGTGTTTTCTGTTAGAAAGGTTATGGATGGATTATCTAAAGAGAGAATTACAATGAGTTCCAAAAAAGAAAGAAATTACAAAACAAGTTCTAGAGTTGTCATTTTCTACTATAAAACCTGTTATTATAAACTGTTTAGGTTGTTATTGGGACTTTTTAGTAATTATTTTCCTTCCTTGGTACTTGATTATAATTCTCTCTCATCTAGATGCATGCGAAAGTAGTATTAAATAGGTTACTAATGAAATGTATTAAAGATACATTCTTTATTTATTCAATAGGTGTTGCCTTTGATGAAGGGGATTCAATAATACTTTTTTAAATAAGTTGGATGGTTTAGATTTAGCAGCTAGAAAAAAAAATAGATTGAAAGAATTATTGTTAATTGAGTTCAATAATACTTGAGTTTAAGTAGATAATACTCTTTTGGCTCCTAAATGTAGCATTTAGTTGTGAAATTTGTTTTATTTAAAAATATAAAACTCCAATCTATTTAGTCTTTTTAAATTTATATTTTTCTCTCAAACTATTAATATTAGAAGAAGGGCTTCCATCAATAAGCATATTTCAATACAGATTATTAAATGGGCATTTTATGAAAAATAATTTAATTTTTATAAATAACTAATTTAATTTACTTTCTTAATATTTATAACGTAGTTATCTGATTCCTACATTTAAGGCCGGGGATATAATATCAGATAGTTGTATAAAAAATGAATTCTTAAAAACTTAATTTTCTTTAATATGATAAATAGAACTTTTTCCAATAAAAAAAGATAAATAGAACCACGTTTATCTACAAGTTTACTCCTTAATTATGGATTAAGAACTTTGAGATTAGATGTTTTTATAGTTGGATGTTATATCTTTTTATCTCTGAAGTTATTGGAAACTTTAATTTGACTGTTAGCTAGGATGGTCATAGACTTATAGAAGTTGCGTCTGAGGTTACAATTTTTTGTCTTGTAAATTTTCTAATAAATTGGTGTCTGATGTGTGCTGTTATTTTTTATTATTTATTTTTACTTTTCTTTTTTACATATAGTATAATTGACTTTTTTTATCCAAAAAAAAAAAGAACTTTGAAATTAGATTTTCTCCCAAAATGTGGCCGCATCTAGTGGGTAGTGGCGCAACGAGTTTGTGATGACCACGTTGTTGTTGGATTGAATCATTGAATGCCCTCATCCCCTTCAACTTATTTTAATAAAATGTGGTTTTAAGAGAGTTTTTTTTAATTTGATCAAAAAGTGTGTATTTAGGTCCCGCAATACTCGATCTAATATATTCTTTTTAATCTTTAAATATAGAAACTAAATAGTTAATTCATGCAAATTAATAAAATTGAATAAACTTACTATTTGTTAAAAATGTGGGTTGATTTTTCTAAAATATCTCTTCTTTTAATTATTCATATTAAAAATTGTCTTTATTGATTACATATATCATATGTATATTTAATTAATAAGGATAGTTTGAAAGACAAAATAATAGATATAAGAAATAAAAGAGATTAAAATCTTACGTTTAGCATCAAAACAAAATTCTCAACTAAATGTGAAAGGTTTATTTACTATAATTACTTCGATTCGAAGAACCAATTGGACTTTAGGTTTAAATAGTGTCAAAATGAGAGGCAAAATTTGTCATTTTTCTTACGTTGTCTTCTCCCTGAATGTAAACATCCCTGATGTTAGACCCCAAAGAAACCCAGATGCACCTTCCACATAAATTGTCTTTAAAAATTCATTCCTTTTCTCCACATATTAAGTCCTGTATTGCGGATTTAGATCCCCTCAATTGAGGAATATCAACCATTAGAATATAAGATTATGATATTATGATAGTGAAATAAAAACCACTGTTTATTTCTTTTTAAAAGAAAAAAACATATTTTTGACTTTTTGGTAACATTATTAAATCACAATCTAATAGTTGACATCTCTTAATAGAAGGACCCCAAGTCCTAGATTGGGTGTTTGTTAGTTAGAACCAAACAAAAGGTGGAGGAGGTTGGTTTTGTTTCTGGGGACATTCAAAAGCTCCATATGCTACATATTTTGTTGGGCCTACCGTTGTTTTCTTCTTGGAATTGAAGTGCCCTCATAATTAAATAAATCATTATCCTAAAAATTGATAACCCTTTGAGATAAACCCCAAATAGATTATCATTGTCCTACCCACCTTGTTTTGATTGACGGTAGCTAAAAAGATTAAGAATCCCTAAGATTAACCTGGTTGATAAAAATATCTAATATGTACTACTGTTAGGTTAGATTTAAGAATTGCTGGGATTAATTAAAGATAACCCTCTCAAAATAAATTTTTTTCCATCTACAAGATTCAAACTTTCAACCTGTAGGTACTTTTATAATGCCAATCCTATGACACTTTATTTTGATCCACAACAACCAAACAATGTTTTGGCCAAAAAAATCCAACCAAACAATCCAAGATTCTTAAGTTGGCCCAATTGATTAGGATATAATCCATACCTTGTAATAATATGGAGTGTTCTATAAATCCTGCTTCCACCTTGTTTTGGTTGACGACAAACAGAAGTCCAACAAGATTCTTGAGGTTGTCCCAATTTGATTTGGATGTAACTCATACCTCATATGAGCATAGAGTATGTATTTTAATCTTCATGTCAATGTGAAAACTTTATCGGTGCCTTGATAGCATTTTTTGGATCATGAGATCTACGGCGAGAGTCTGAAACCTAACTTAAATTAAACTTTTCCTTGAGGGGGAAAAATTACAGCCCCAATCAAGTTCCACCATTCTTCTATCCCACACTACACTAAATAAGTCAAAAGTAAATATAGAAAGTAGATCATGAAAGAGTTAATAAACAGTAACTTGACAAGGTCCCAAAAAAGAATGGTTGGCTAAAGATATCCCAACTATTTGCTCTGTTTTATATTGAAAGATCGCAACTCATTTTGGGGCTCATGTCAATTATTCTTCAGACGATAAACCTGCAAAGTAAACCCACAATCTACTTGGGGTTCCAAGAGACAGTAGATTCCAGTTTTAGCATTCATTGTTATGAAGAAACTAGAGAGACTACCTCAACTGAAATCCATAATCCATAAGCAACACACAACTTGAGAGCTCAAGAGGGCTTCATTTGGACTCTTCAACATGCACTGCAAAATCCTTCTGATGCATTATGCTTTTGCTAATAGCAACGTATCCACCATGTTTGCTCCTTGGATCTTACTTCAGAATGCAATGGCAGGCCAATGTGGGACCTTGCTTTCACTGACCACTGCTACCACGGAGTTGCAATCTTTTCCTCTCCAACTCAAGCTGCATTGAGGGAACACGAAATTATCAACCATCAACAATATGACAGATAGAAGTTTCTCATAAAATTGTTTGCAGACAATGAAAGAATATCATGAACAACTGTTACACCATTGATGTCCAAATAGCTTTATTGTTAAAAGAGACAGACAATAAACAGCAGCATGAACACGTATTTATTTCAAAAAACCAATTCAAATTTAAAGACTTGTGTTTAACTATCAGAACTTGAGGCTGTGTCTGTGTCTGATTCAAGTTGAATACCTGTATCAAACACATGAACACTCAAATAACATAGGCAACTTAGATGTGATATGAAATTCTAATGTAACTAACATCAAAGAAAACATAAAATTTCTTTTTCCAACCTCTCACTTTGCTTCTGCTAAATATTTCTCCTGAGAAACTATACAGCGTAAGGAGCAGTGAGGAGCCAACAAGTTCAGCATGATGCACAGTGTTAACAATCTTTATGAATAATTTAGTGCTATTAATGCAAACATTTCATTACAGTAACAGCATGTAAAACTGAGTCAATAACAGATGCTGGGGGCATCATTTGAACATCTTACCACTTTTTTCACCCGCTCTCTCGCAGCTGGAGTGCCTCCACTTACAGATTCTGGGAGATAAGGACTGCCAACACGCACCTCATTCATGACGACTATGACAGTCTTGTCCCAGCGAACTGGCAGCCTGATCACATGTTTATGATAGCCGTTAAAACAATTGAATGTGAATCATTCATAATAATTTCCCAGAGAATGAAAACAAGACCAAGAAAACTTTAACAGATTTATAAGAGAAAACTATACAGAGTAGCAGATATTTATTCATGCAAATGCAATCCATTTAGCAAAAATCAGGAACTAAAATTCAAAGTAACCAATACTAGATCTCATGTTCATGCACCCAAGTCACGAAAGTCCTAAAGGTCAAAAAGCAAACTGAGTTTCAATTTAAAATTTCAGACTACCTCCACCAATTTAACAATAAGATCCATGGTCATGGCCAAATGTATGAAATACGGTTACAGCATCTAACCATCTAATGCTAACAAGTACAACAAACGTAGAAGTCCCTGCAAAGTTTAATTTCAAAATAACCTAGAACTCTAAACCATATAGCTTTTTATGATCTTATTTTTTGTATTCATATGAGTGCAGGATATCTAAATGCAATATCATCATCTCACAGAAATACTGGTACAACTGAAAAACAAGGAGAGACTAAAATCACATCAAGAATATGCCGTGACAGCATTTGACATAACTCAACATTCAAGGTCAGGTGTAGGAATTTTGCTGCATGACAAGTATTAAAATTAACATCACTTATTTATTAATAACAAATGAAGTTCAGAATAAAAACATCATGAATTAATTTTAATGTATACATATCCGTTATCTAAATTTTACATCAGCAGACTAATATTCAAGAAAAAGCATATACATAGCAGAGTTTGCGTAGTCTGTTTCTTTATTCACAGACCTATCCTTCATCCGTGAACCACCATCTCCCCTCAAACCTGCCAACAAAAGAACCACTTTCCCCAAGAATGAAAGAGGGCTTCCAAGGTGCACATCACATTTATCTACAGTTATGGTGTGTTCAAATGCCAGAGTAACATTCTTTACATAAAACATTTCAGTGAATTTTTGGCAGGTTGCTAAAGAACATGATGCATTTTATGTAAGGACACAGAGACTAACAACCTGACTATGTAAGTGCAACCCATGAAAAGAAGCAAACCATGAAGAAACGAAATATTGGTGGAGATCAAACGTATCCAGGAAACAACAGAATTCTAAGGACGCAAGGGTAAAAACCAAGGAAACATAATGCAAAGAGAAAAGTAGTTCAGTTAAGTAGAATACAGCACCTATGGCTATATAAAAATACAAAGGAAGATTTAAAAAGAAAAATCACTTTATCGTTTACAAGTCACAGTGATACTCATAAGCTGGCTTAGTTATAAAATCCGTAAATTACCATATACCCTCTGCCAGTAAAATTTATTATCAAAACTTTACGTTAACAAGTATTCATTTAGTACTTGGGGAAATGCGGTCACAACTCCCTTGCAAGCTAAATTAAAGACACAGCACTTACGTTTTAGATAAAGCATCGAAAATACTTTGTGCCTCGCTGGTAACACCTACACCAATCCTCTCAGCCTCAGCCTCTGCTTGTCTAAGATCAAAATAATTTGGGATCACAAGTAATTCTAATGAATAACGCAGACACAACATTGAGAAAGAACAAAACTGAAAAAACTGAACGTGAAATGATTTCATGATCCAAAAAGCAAGAAGTACCTTATTGCTACTTCTTCCCTCGCTTGGAGAGCATTAAGGTCAAGGAAGCAGTTCTTTGGATCAAGCGGGTCTTCTGCTTGACCTAAAAATGTGAAATCTTTGATATAATTAGCCTTCAATAATCGAATATTTCGATGAGGTCCAGGTTTGGAACCTTCCTGAAGTACGAGGATGTTAGAAGAGCGATCAAATGTGATAACTTGTGCTTCGAATTCGTCGCCTAAAGTGGTTTTGATCGATAACAAACACCCCACAGCCAAGTCCTCCGGGTTGCTACCACCCGTCGCCATTCTTTGCCAGCTAGTGCTGCTGCGAAACTACCCCTTTCTCCCAAAGACGAAGCATTCAACCTCGTGCAGTAGACAAAGAAAATATGATTCTGGATTGGGGTCAGAGATTTGCCCTGGCCGACCAGTTTTGAATTTTTTGGCATAAGATTTCTTTTCAGTTTGATTTGGTGATGGATCCTAATGACGAGGCCCAAAAGAGTACACAAGAGGCCCCGTAAGAAGCGTGGACAACAAATGTGAAGCCTGCGACCACCAATTGTTGATCAAGGGTAAGGGAGCTTTATAACCCGCTTTTCAATTATAAATTATGAAATATGAAGTAAGGGTGCTAAAAGAGTTTTATTTTGACTTACATAAAATATGCTTATAAATATTTAAACATGCCAATCTAAATAAATAGTATCCTGTTTTTGTTTTGATCCTCAGCCAGTGTGTATAGAAAAAAAACATTGTTGGCACCAACAAATGTGGAGTCCGCCCTCGTTGAGCACAATTAAAAGAGTGTTTGGATGAAATCAACTCATAGTTTAGAGAATAGTTTTTGAAAGAATAAATTTTAGAAAAATATTTTTATGAAAAAAGTGATTTTAATAAAGTGAAAGTGTTTGAGAGGTTGTTATCATAATCATTTTTACGTATAAATTATTAAAAAGATATAAGTTAATATGATAATTATAGAAAAATATATTTTAATTCATTTTTTTGTTTGAAATAATAAATTGTATATAAAAAATATAATTAATTAATATCATCTCCCATCCTTAATATAAGAGCTAATTAGATATTCAATGTGATTTTAAATATAAGATCTCAGTCTATTTTATTTCTTATATTATTTTATTTTTTATATCTGAAACAATGGTTTTATACCTTCAAAAGGAAAAACAATTTCACTTTATGAAAAATCATGGTTTTAGACCACAAATCATGGTTTTCAATTCAAAAGTGATTTTTGGACCTATTTGGGTGCTCCCCAAAATCATGGTTTGGGAGGCAAAACCATGGTTTGGGTGGGATGTCACCCAAACATCATTAATTTTAGAGAAATAATCTGAAACTATGATTTGGGCCAAAACTATAGTTTTGGAGGAGAAGTGAATCCATTCTGCTTCTGACTCAAATTAGAGAGTATGATTGTGCCTATTAAAGTAGATCTCAATAATAATATGACTTTAATATCCCTCAATTATTTTTTTATAAACATATTTAATTTTATATCTTATAAATATATATACACATATTAATTATATTATCTTATGTATTATTAATTATGTTGGTAAAAAAATATATTATTAACAATTTTATTCCTTCAAATTAAAATATATCATAAAATCTATCTTTTATGTAATTATCATATTAATTTATGTCTTTTTAGTAATTTGTATATATAAAAAGTGCTTTTGATAACAACTATACAAACACTCTCACTTTTCAGAATCATTTTTTCACAAAATCTATTCTTCACAAAATCTATTATCCCCAAAATATATTCTCCAGAAGCTATTCTCCAAACCATGGTTTGGTTTCATTCAAATACTTCCGTTGTCAAAAATCATGATGTTTGGCTAAATTTTTCCAAACTATGATTTTTAATCAAAAAAGTGATTTTACGAAAAGTTGACATGTTTGGATGGTTAAATTCCCAACCCATGATTTTGCTTGTTATCCAAACAAGTCCTGAGATATGTTTGAGTTTGAACGAATTAAGCTAGTTTAGATGATGCTATTAAAATTATTAAGAAAAAAATGACCATAAAATAGTTGTTGAATTTTAATATTTTAAATTAGTTTTTTTTTATATTTTTATGACAATTGACTATATGAAAGAAAAAACAAGAGTTAAAGTGCATTTAGCATCTTAAAAAAAAATTTTAGATATATTCAACACCTTAAAATACTTTAGAGTGTAATTTCACCCCTCATATATTAAAAACAGATCAATTTTACCCTTTATTAACGCCATCACAAACGTCCTGAGAATCACCCCCGCCCTCCTGCCACATCTCTTCCCTCCTCACCAAAACCAGATGGGAGAGAAATATAGGGGAAATGGATACCAAATGGGAGAAATGTAATTAAACCCCAAATAAGGAACATACTACCTCCAATCTTAGTTATAAAATCTCATTTGTACATAAACTGTTCTGTTATTATTTTATAAACTACAAATAAGATCTTATAATTAAGATTGAAAGTAGTGATTACTCAAAAGTTTGAGTAATAACAGAGCAGTTTATAATAATAAATTTTATAGTAATAACTAATAATTATTCACTTGTTATGAGGACTTACTAGTAATTATTTTTTTTTGTTTAGGATTTTATTCTAATTTTCCTCAAAAATATCAAGTGCGCGCATATATATTAAAATATCCTATACATAACAGTTACTTTAATTTTTAACCAAACAAAGGAATGAGAAAAATCCCTCCATTTTTTTATAAACAAAAGAGGCGGGGAAGCTTCAACCAAATAGACCGTAACGTTTCCATGTTTTCCAATGCCTTTCGGTAGAGCTCACCCCAGCTGTGTCAACTCTTTTTCCTGGAAACTCTATAAATTATAATGTGATTAAATATTAGAATCAAAATTGTGGTTTGGTATAAATTTTATAATGCATATTTGCTGGTGAAAAAAAATAATGCATATTAATTGTATTCAATAAATAAAATTAAAATTAAAATTTATATAAGAATAAATGAAAACATAATTTCTAAAATAAGAACCAACACATCTTATTATAAAATAAAACTAACGAGTGAGATATTTGGAGAAGAGATAATGGAATACTCTCATCCTATATATAAAATACAATTTTTGAGATAGACATCTCTAATTTTTTTTTTCCCCCCGCCAACGAGAAAGACATGGTATGATCTATGGGACACTTTAAAGGATATGTGAAATGCTAATCTTTCTTTTTAATTTTGCTCTTATTAATCACGTTATATTACTGCATTCATAATCTATCACATACCCATTTTTCCTGCTCATTCCCTCTGTCTCACTCACAGCCTCTTTATAACTAAGTATATTTTTTTAAAAAAATAAAATATATTTTTATACAGATGTATTACTTTTAATTAATTCTGATAAAATCTTTTTGCCTACATAATTTGATTTTTTTTATACCTTATATATATATATAAAAGGGGAAGAAATAAGATAAAAGGAAAACTTTTTTGTTATCGAGTACTCGATAACAAAATATATGAAATGTTGGGAACTCTTGATATTCAGTTGAACTCAATAAATAAATAAGCCGGAGTCTTATAACTCAACTAATATTAAGCACTTTTTTAAGACTTTAGTGTATAGTGAATATGTAAGTTATGACGAAAATATTCCATAAATAAATATAATTAGCAATCACTTTATAAAAGAACAAAGGATTAAGGTGCATCCAACACTTTAAAATATTTTTTTCAAGGGCATTCAACATACTGGAGTATTTTGTGGTACATTCAATATCCTAAAATATTTTTTGATACATCTTCAAGTTTTTTTTTGCCTTGGTATTGGATGCACCAAAAATATTTTAAGATGTTAAATGCACTTAAAAAAATACTTCAAAATACTAGATGTATTACAAAATATTTTAAAATATTTAATGCACTCTCGAGATACTAGGTACATCTTAACCCAAGAGCAAAAATACTCATAAATTTTTATCATAGTGCACTAGACATCATATGTTTTTGGGGGTGCAAAAGTACATATGAACATTAAAAATAGAGATGTAAGTACTAAAATACCCCAACTCAAACCAAAACATCACGTACACATACATGGTGAATATGTCTTATAAAAACTGTTTTTATGTATTTGCCAGGTACTCTAATCAAGTTTGAAGGTTAGTGCCCAAATTGAATTTTAATGAGCAGATTCACCTGAACCAAAATTAAGAATTCAAACCTTCGTTAACGGATTGCTGGTTAAAAAAAAAAAAACTTTGTTAACGGATAAAATCACCTGGGAAAAACTGCTACCAATTAAATTCAGGGGTGCTTTATCTGCTAAGTATAACCTAACAATCCTGAAAGTTTGGACCACGATTTGCAACATTAATAAAAGCTATTTAAATTTAATTTAAAAGGTCTAAATATAAAGTTTTAGTTTACGATTTTTTATATAATGATAATTAGACAAAAAATTTTGTTTTAGATTTTATATCTATCAACTCAAAAATTATTTTAAAATATTAAAATATAGAAATAGTAAGTTTAAGAGTAAAATACATTGGCTATCCTTCTATTTTACCTAAATTACAGAGATATCATCTTTATTTGAAAAATTTATATAAACCTCTCTTGAAATTAAAATGTATGTCACACAAATCTCATTATATCTTTGAAATTATATTTCTACCTATCCAACTATTTGTTGATCATTAAATTTAAATTTCAAACTTTTATTTTAACCAAAATATCCCTCCTTAACATAAACATTTATATTCATAAAAGATAAGTATAATACATGTATTTTGAAACTTTTTAATATGTTATAAATTTATTAATTTTGATTACATTATAGAATTATATAATTTTAAATCTTCATGACATACTGAAACTTATTTATTTTGGTTTCTTTGAAACGGTTGGAAGATATTTTAAATGCATTTTTTTTCATCATATTCATCATATAAAATAAATTATGTGAGTTGGGGACAATGGGACATTATATAAATTATTTAAATTTATAATTTAAAATTTTTAGTAAAAATTTTCTTGCAAACATTTATAACTTATTTGATCGATTATATGTTTATTTAAAAAAATTAACCAAATTGTCATTTAATTTCTTATATTTACATTAACTAAACTACTTAATTTTTTGTCCTAATATGATAAAAACATTAAACAAATAACTATTTATAAAAATAAAGAATAAAATTAAGGTAAAAGACAAAATCTTAAATTCTTCAAACTATATTTAGCCAAAATTTATAAATTTAGTATTATGATGGTAAATTAGTAAATAAAAAATATTTCAACATATTTTTAATTAAAAAAAGTATTTTTTAGAATATTTTTAATAGAGTTAACAATTTGGA